TTCTTTTATTGGTACATTTTAGGTATACAATACGTTTACATTTATCATTGGGTGCTTGTACCTGTACATGATATATCTTGGTTCTTACTTTTTCCCCATTACCTGTACACCCTTCACCCCCTCCACCCCTTCCTATTTACATAGACTTTGTTTCCATTTTTTTCTTTTCTCATGATTTTTCCTTTCCCTTCTTTCCTTTCCCCTTCCCCTCCCATTTCCCCTACCCCTTTGGACCTTTTCTTCCTATTTCAAATTATCACTTATCCATTTTAATTGTCTTAAACCTTATTTAGACTTTCAGTTTCTCACACCAGAGAAACTATTCGGTATTTACACATGTGTGTCCTTTTTATTTCACTTAAGAGTATGGCCTCCATATGCATCCATTTAGCTATAAATGTCTTAGTTTCTCGTTCTTTATGGCTGAGTAGTACTCCATTTTATAAAAAAAACCCACATCTTCTTTATCCAGTTTCCAGTTGATGGGCACTTGGGCTGGTTTCAAGCTTTAGCTATTACAAACTGTGCCACTATAAACATGGGTGCACATATATCACTGTGGTATAATTCTTTTAATTCTTTTAAGACCAAATTATTTAAGCTAGAGATGGTGGAACGTGTTTGTAAACCCAGCTACTTGGGAGGTTGAAGGTCTCAACAAATAGTACATTATCTGGCCATCTTAGGAAGTAAATCAATTTTAGCTATTGGTTTATTTTGCTAATGTTAATCTACAGCCACTACCAAGTGGAGTTTCAGTATAAATAAGGCAATCAACTCACCTCCCGCCTGGGATTCTTTGACTATGGCACTGAAAAACCTCACATCCTGGGAACACCCCCAGTATTGGGCAAACCAGGATGGTTAGTTACCCTAGAAAGGCTCCATTCTTAGTATAAAATTACCCAGTTCTCTACAGAATGAAGAAAACACCAAGTATGAAGTACGGATACCCTGGGTCAAATAAAATTTAATCAGCTCCCAAGCTTTAAATAAAAACAAGAAAACTAGCTATCAGAGATAAATCTTCTCAACCTGTCCACATATAAAGAAATTTCAATAATCAGAAGAATTTGCCAGACCAGTACAAACCCACAGAATATACGTTTACTAATTGCACCTGGCTTCCGCCCAGTTGAAATAATCTTCCTCTCACCCCAGGAGCCTAGTTTTAACAGTGCAAATCACATGTTCTGGCCATTTCTAGGAAGTGCAGGAGTGAAAAATAACGTTCAGTTTTATACAAACAGAAGATCTGTCCTAGTCCCAGCTTTTCATAGGGTCAGGCTAATCTCATTAGATAATTTCCCAAGCCAAAACACTAGCATTAAAAAATGATTAAGCAGCCAGTGCTATTTCATTTTTTATTACCTTGTAAGCTTTTCAGAGATTAAACTGAAGCAAAAAAAGGAGGCCATTTTGTAACAGATTCGGAAAAGAAGGTCAGAAAGTGTCACAAATTAACTCTAAAATGTTACAAAAATAACTAGAAAACCCACTGTTCTCTGAGCAAATATTTTAGCAAATACAGAAGGCAGATTCGCATGAGAAATAGTGGGTATTCCCTGAGAAAGTAAAAGGCTATGATTAAAGAGGTCTAGAAATTCTAAAGAAGATAAAGCAGGATCTTCCTGCACTTGTCTGGACTTTGGCCTGCATATATACATAAAAGAACAACTCTCAATGTCAGGCTCACTCTGAGAACCAAAAGGAGGGTGGCCTTTCTCACCATCATGAACTTGGAAGGCCAAGGCGGTGATCTTCTGGGTGACAATCATCAGAGGCCTAGAAGGAAAACAGGGAAATCAGACTGGCCAAAAGAAAATAAAAAAAGCTACAGAAGGAAACTTTTATTCTACTTCTTTGCATGGTGTTTTTTCACCTTGAAGTTTATTAAGCAAAGTACAGAAACATTGAATTAAAAATATTCAATTTGTATTTCTCCTCCATGTCATTTTAAATAAAGATATAACAACACTGAATACTAAAACCACACTAGACAGTCTCTCTCAAGCTGTGAAGCCTCAGACCAGTGCTGTACTAGCAACAGTAGCATAGCATCACCTGGAGAAAGGCAGTCCCTCAGACTCCAATGTAGATGGGAAAACAAGGCTCTATTTTAACAAGATCATGAGGGAATTCAAATGCACATTAAAGTGTGAGAAGCCCTGGTCTGGGAGATGCCTAAGCCAGTGCCCTGGTTCCACCTGGAGAAGGGGGCAGGGGGAAACAAAGAGGACACACAGAGACAGAGAGACAAGACACACACACTCATGCACACACACATGCATGCATACGGTGTGATGAAAAACACCTGTGGTGAATGATCAAATTCTTTTTATTTTTTTTATTTTTTTATTTAAGTACTTCGAATACACTTATCCCATCATCCTTGCCAATTTCTGAAGCATCTCTGGAAGTCCTCTTTCATTGGTTCTTTACAAGATGTGACTCAAAATACAGTAAAGGGTGCTGCGGAGTGCCATCCAGTGGAAAGGCAGGCTCATAAAAAACAGTGCACTGTGTCCACATTCACCTCATTCACCAGTTCTGCCACCATGCAACTTATGGCTCTTCCCTAAAGTTCAAAATGACTATGAAAGGGAAGCAGGCAGGAGAGTGCAACTAAAGACACTCACAAAAGAGGACTTCCAGGGCCAGGGATTTAGCTCAGTGGTTCTGCCGCCTGCTTCCCAAGTGCAAGGTCCTGAGTTCGATCCCCGGTAGCAAAAAAGAGGACTTCCAGAACTGCTTCAGAAAGTGGCAAGAATGATATGTGTTTGAAGCAAGGGGGAATATTTGGGGGGGATCAACACATCCCTGCCACTGGTAGTACATACATGACTGTCCCATAATGCTCAATGGAATAGTCATACATGTACCACTGGTAGTTCAGAGCCACCCAGCAGGGAGACATACTAATTACAGCCCCGTTGTGAAAGTGTTAATAGCAATTGTCTTATGTCTTTTATACTCACGTGGTTGTGGTGATGCTCATGTAAACAAACCTGTTTAGAAATGCTTACAAATACAAATACCTACCACTAGGTTACAATTGACTACAGCACTCAGTACAGTAACATGCTGTACAAATTTGTACCCTAGGGACAATAAACAGGTTATACCTTACAGAGTAGAAATGTAGAAGGCTATACCACCTAGTTTTATGAAAATAACTTAATATATTCACACAAGGACAAAATCACATAATCATACATTTTTCAGAATGTGTTCCCAATGTTAAGTGACACATACCTGTACTGCTTGCTTCATCCAAATATGCCCTAATGTGCTTTGTTCTATCAAAGGCAATTCTTCCATGCACACATAGTAAAAGATGTATTTATAAAATTCAGCTCCCTATCAACAAACCATTTAATGACATAAATTAACACCAACCTTCAGTTCATAAAAGCCATAATATAAAATCTTGCCTCAGAAGTGCTAACCATATAAAAAATGGATTCTAGGATAGTTCACTGAGGGTAACAATAGTCTTTTTAATGAACAATGATGGGACAACTAGGTATCCCCATAAAAAGAATATAAAAATTCAAAAATGGATAAAGACTTAAATGTATTTCCTAAAGCTATAGCACTTTTAGGAAACTAGGTACTGGTTTTCTTTTGGCATAAGGACAAGCAAGAAAAGAAAATAACAGATTAAATGGATATCGTTAAAATCTAACTTTAATGATTCAAAGGACACACGCCAACAAGAAAGTAAAATGATATTTCACAGAATGTAAGAAAACATTTGAAAATCACCTGTCTGGCTACAATATATAAAGAGCTCTTATAACTTACTAGACAAATAACTCAGTTCTAGAATGGGAATAGAATTCGAGTGGATATTTCTTTAAGAGGATAAGAAAATGGCCAATAGGCATCTTTTTGTTGAAAAGATGCTCAACAGTACCTAGCCATCAGAGAAATAAAAATCAAAGCCACAATGAGATACCATTTCACAAGTACTGGGATGGTTAGAATTAAAAGGTAGGGCCGGGGATTTAGCTCAGTGGTTCCACCATTTGCCTCACAAGCGCAAGGACCCGAGTTCGATTCCCAGTACCAAAAAAAAAAAAAGGTAGACTATAACAAGTGTTGGCAGGGAGGTGGAGAAACTGGAGCATTACTCACTGCCTGTGGGAATATTTAATGGTGTGCCTGCTTCAGGAACAGTGTAGCAGTTTCTAAAAAGGTTAAACATAGAGCTACCTTATGACACAGCAATTCCCCATCTAGGTATATGTCCATGAGAAATAAAAATATATCTACACAAAATGTACATGCCTGTTCAGAACAACATTACTAATAATAGCCCAAAGAAATAATCCAAATGTGTATCACCTCATGAAAAGATAAATAAAATGTCGTAAGTCTATGCAATAGAATATTACTTAGCACAAAAGGGATGAATTACTGACATGAAGGACAACATGCATGAACCTTGGAACATCATGTTAAGTGAAATAAGCCTACTGTGCAATTCCATTTATACAAGGTGTCTAGAATAGGCAAATCCATGGAAAAACAAAGATTGTAGGGAATGGGAGGAAATGAAGAAGGACGACTAATCCATATGATTTCTTTAGAGGAGTAATGAAAATGTAAAATGAATTGTAGTGATGTTGTACACTGTGAATTCACTTGCTGAATATGCTAAAAAAACTATCGAACTGTACACTTTAAATAATTTACCATATGTGAATTGTATTATCAATAAAGCTGTAATAAAAACATTTAAAAATTGAGCAACATACAGTGTTGCGTGCCTGTAGTCCAAGGTACTTGAGAGGCTGAAACAGAAAAAAATCACTTGACCCCAGGAGTTCAAGACCATGTCTCAAAAAAATTTTTTCCCATTCCTCTCCCTCTCTTCAGCCCCTCTTCCCCTCCTTATTTATAAGAGCTTTGGGCCGGGGATTTAGCTCAGTGGTTCCAGTGCCTGCCTTGCAAGCGCAAGGTCCCGAGTTCGATCCCCAGTACCAAAAAACAAACAAACAAACTGTAAGAGCTTTGTTTCCATTTTCTCTTTCTTTTTGTGTTTTTCTTCCTTTTCCCTTTCTTTCTTTCTCCCTCCCCCCTTCCTAGTGCCCCTTCCCATTTGCACATTTTCTTCCTATTTCACAATTTGGTCCTTATTTACATTTTCAGTTCCTCACACCAGAGAAACAATACAATACTTAACATGTGTGTCCGATTTATTTCACTTAAGAGTATGGTCTCAAGGTGCATCTATTTACCTAGAAATGTCTCAAGTTTATCTTTCTTTATGGCTGAGTAGTACTCCACTATATAAAAAAGCCACATCTTCTTTATCCCTTGATCAGTTGATGGGCATTTGGGTTGTCTCCAAGATTTAGCTATTACAAACTATTCTGTTATAAACATGAGTGTGAATATATTATTGTGGTATAATGCTTTTAAGTCTTTCAGGAAGATACCAAGAAGGGGAATGACTAGGTAAAATGGAACCTACAGTCTTTTTGAGAAATCTCCATACTGATTTACAATTTTTTGAGAAATCTCCACACTGATTTCCACAGTAGTTGCATCAGTTGATATGCCTACCAACATTGGAGAAGTGTTCCTTTTTCCCCACAGCCCCTCCAGCGTTGTTACTGGTTGATTTCTTGATAATATCCATTCTTGCTGAAGTGAGATGGAATCTCAGTGTTGTTTTAATTTGTATCTCTCAAATGACCAGTGATGTTGAACATCTTTTCATGTTTTTATTTGCTGTTTGTACTTCTTCATCTGAGAAGTGTGTATTCATGTCAGATGCTCATTTCTGGACTGGGTCTTTAAATTTGAAGGGTTTGGGTTTTTTTTCAGTTCTTTACATATTCTAGATATTAGTCTTTCATCTGAGGGAACAGCTGGCAAAAATTTTTTCCCACTTTTTTGGTTGTCTCTCCATTCTGTTGGTGATTTTTTGCTGTCCAAAAGCTTTTTAATAAGGTGAGATCCTATTGCTGATTCATTGTAATTTTTTTCTGTGCTATCAAGGTTTTGTTCACAAAGTTTTGGCCTACTTCTCTGTCTTCAACAGTTCTACCTATTCTCTCTTCCAGCACATTTAGTGTTTCTGTTTTAAAATTTAAGTCTTTGCTCCACTTTGATTTTAGATTAGTGCATGGTGAGAGACATGGGTCTAGTTTTAGACTTCACCATGTGGACAGTCAGTTTTTCTAGCACCATTTATTAAAGGACCTTTCTTCCAGTGAAGGTGTTTAGTCCCTTTGTCAGAGATAAGGTAGCTCAGTGTGTTTGGAGTTGTTTCTGCATCTTCTAATCTGATCCACTGATCCTCAGGTCAGTTTTTTTGCCAGTACCACAATGTTATCACAGAAGCTCGGCAGTATAATTTCAAGTCAGGGATTGTGATGGCCCCTGCCTTGCCTTTGTTGCTATTCTAGGTCTCTTTTTGTTCTAAATGAATTTTAGGAATGTTTTCTCTAGTTCTGTGAGGTATGCTACTGGTATTATGATTGGGATTGCATACAATTTTAGGACTATGACCATTTTTGCTATGTTAGCTCTTCCTACTCATGAGCAATTTTCTGATAACCTGTTCAATCTCTTTTTTCAGAGTACTGTAGTTTTCAATGCAAAGATCTTTTACTTCTTTTGTTAGACTGATTCCTAAGTATTCCATTTTTTTTATGTTATTGTGAAAGGCATAATTTCCTTAATTTGTCTCCCAGTAAGTTTATCATTTGTGTACAAGAATGTTACTAATTTTTGAGTGTTGAGTTTGTATGTAACTTTGTTATGTAACT